ATGGCACAGTGGATAAAGGCGTTGGTTAGTGACATGACCCAAAGAATGTGTGTTCAATACCTGGTTAAGGTATAGGGAATTAACAGGAGACAACTGAAACGAGTACAGTCTACTCCAATGAGCGAAATAAAGTGTTCAGTTCGACATTCCAACAATCACGAGAAAGATGAGGACAATAGTCTGAATAGTGGAACTAGAATTGTCTTGCTATGATTTAATTATGCATTTAAAGCCATTAAACTTTTTCTACTTTAATTCAAATGCTTAAAACAGGCTCGGGTAATTACATATTGCCTAACCTGAATAGATGTAAATCTCCAGAATTCTGATTCGTTCAATTCAACTTGAAGAATTCAAGAAATACAGTAATCCTTCTATTTTCTACCGGTTTAATCTTATGTAATCTTTCTAAACAGGATCTTACTCTTATCTAAAGTAATTAGGAAAATCAGGGTTCAAACTCCATTCAATTTCTCCATTTGTCTGCTTTCTTAGAACGATCAGTTCTTTATACACTAACGTACCAAAAGTCATGGAATATAATGCAATGATGACTAGAGGTAGCGAGACTGTTCCTTGACGCCATCTTAATGCCCGGATATATATCCGTTGTAGTGGAGCATGTAGCGAGTCCAAGAGCTTACCTCCATGTCACGCTGAATAACCAATTCCCCTACGATCGCCGAAATTAATCAACGTCGAGCCTGGTTAATATCTAGGCTGGTGTCAGCTTGTGAATACCGGGATTTTATGAGCTTAGGTGTGCGGGTGGTGTAATGGATAACGGCTCGGAATTGGAAAGCGGAGAGCCGAGTTCCTATTCCAGTTGGTTCCATTATATTAACTCATGCGCAAATATATTTGTGAATGGCATGAATCTTTTTTTTCTCCTTTAAGCTATGGGTTATCTAGTATGAATTTATTTGAATTATATATATATATATATATATATATATATATATATATATATATATATATGACGTATTTTTCAGTGCGTCTATGTCGCTACTAAATGTTAAACAAGGCTTCTTTAAAATCGTTCTAACGGGAATACCGTGAAAATTTTCTCATACCCCCTCGTTTGGGGCTTCAGGCACCCAGCCATAAGCCCAGCCCTCTCCCTTTGTACTCACTATTCAGTCGTAATTGATCTAGCGGGACATACTTGCTCAAAATTACACCAGGTCGAAGTGCCCTGAAATGATTCACAAAGCGTAGCTTAGATGCGACACAAGAACAAAAATGTGGAGCCCCCAATGAGGATCGAGCTCATTACTCAATTGTAATTGATCAAACGAGAGCTAACTATTACACCACGTCGAAGTGTCCTTAATAATATTCAAAACGTAATTTAGATGTGACACAAAGTCAAATGTATGGGGCATCCAGTAAGTCAGCGTTCATGAAATAATGCTAAAAATAATGGAAGCCTTATGAATAAAACAGAAAAATCCAATACTCAATAATATTAACAATGAACACGGTCACAATTTGCTGATCGTGTTTTGAAATTAAAACATTCCTAGAATTTTAGATACATATACAATACAATCCTTACATTCAGTTAAAAGTAAAAATTAAATAATCCTTGATAATAGGTAAAAGCATAGCTGTAAGCGCTCGGCTTTACAAAACATTTGGTTAATTTCTACATAATTGGTGACTGCAAAGGCACGAAATTATAAGAACACACGAAAATTAAATAAAAACCTATTCGCAGTACTTTGTCAGTATTTTTTTTTATAAAGCTTGTATAAAAGGGGGAATACTGCCCAAATACACAATTAAACACACACACACACACACACACATATATATATATATATATATATATATATATATATATATATAATATATCGACTGATAGATAGATAGATAGATAGATAGATAGATAGATAGATAGATAGATGAAAGTGAACATTGAAGTCAACATCCAGAGGCGACAGGCGGTTTCATGTTAAAAGCAGTCATCAGGCCACACGCGTTGTTTTTTTCTCGACTATTTATATATACGGGTCAGCGGTGCCAACTCTGCTTGTAGGAAAAAATAGTCATAATTACCTTCCCAGACCAAAACAAACTACTAAATAAACGATCAGAACTCATCTCATAATGCAGACATGAAAACAAATTTTTACTACGTTACTTAAAAATCGAAAACCAAAAAGAATAAATAAAATAAAATAACATAGATAAAAACAAGTAAAATAAATTCATCCGCTTAAATAGAGTAAATAATAAACAAATTAACAAACCACTCCCGCCAAAATAACCGTTATAATAGCCTACCCACAACACAATAGACTACCCACAATGCACCACTGATCGGTAAATATAAATAGATGAGGCCAGATGATTGCGTTTAGCACGAAACAGTCTGTCGCCTCTGAGTGTTCATTTTTATATTTACATTCACTCTATCTCTGATATTGAGCACTTTATCCTATAAATATAGCATACCTTACAACTATATTTCTTCACACACACACACACACACACACACACACATATATATATATATATATATATATATATATATATATATATATATATATATATATATATATATTGCTACACAGTTTCCAGTATCGTGACTTTCTTCAGGCAAATCAAAGGAATCAATTTTTAAAGGAATACATTTTACTTATGTTCTTATATTACAATGTTCATTTTCTGTATTTGTAGTGAGCCTTGATCTCATTTTTGGACTCTTGGGCAAAAGTGATAGATCTAACATATTTAGTTGGATTGATGTGAGTTTGTGAGCCTGGGTTTCATTCTTTGAGTTTGTCTGACGATCGCAAAAGCGTGAAATCCAGGGTCACAAACACACAATCAAACAATATATATATATATATATATATATATATATATATATATATATATATATATATATATATATATATATAGCATACGAGACGAAAACATATAATACGAATCAAAATATGCTTTTGTGAAATGTGTTATTGATAACGGCTACAAGCTTTTGGAGCGTGCAGTCGCAACGCTAAGTTAAATTTTTCTGAAAATTTAAGAGAGTGCGTTTTTAACTAATATGGTAATTTGAGAATTTTTTGTTGTAGGAGTTTATCAGTCAATGTGGCACGAACTAAATTGTTCAATAAATAGAGTAATGTCTCAGTTCTTATACCGAAAATGTGTACGTCGGATCAGTTCTTTTAAATTAAATATGCGGTGCAATTCAATTAAAAAAATTCAACCTTAGCGTTGCGACTGAACGCTGCAAATGTTTGTATCCGTTATAAATAACACATTACAAAAAACATATTTCGATTCGCATTATATATATATATAATCATAAGAATATTCAATTAGAGATAAGTGAATTGCCTATGACAGAGAAGAAATATTATTTTCTGTTATTTTTAAGCGTGGCAAATAAAACAAAATAGCAATTTATGTTTTAAATTATTTATTGCCCGCTGATTAATAGATCATAATTTGTAATTGGATTGTACTTCTAAAAATGTCAAAACTTCCACGTAGCATCGTTTTTGGCTGACATTTGCAAATTGGTTATCCTAACGTCTACATTTGTGTATAAGGCAAATTCATGATTCAAGCTCTTCGCTAAGTTGAACTGCTGCACTTTTTTTAATTCAACGTTTTAACTCAGTTATGTGCCATGAGTGATACATGCTTTGGCGATCATGTATCTTTTGATACTTGACTGACGAAGCAGATTTTTTTTCCTGAAGTAGGTTGCCATTTCTTTCTGCAGTCGATCAGTTCCCATGCAAGGCTATAGAACCCAGTCTGTCCTGCTATTTACCCATGAGATTTGATTATAGTGGTGAAGGCCTCGTGCAGGACCATCCACACTTTTTGAAGGGAGGAATACAGAGACCTGGTGCACCGAATGCCTCAAGGTTCCCAAACGACCCACCGCAGGTTTTGAATTCAAAGATGTCCTTCTCCTAGATCAGTTGCCATCCAAAGCTATAGAACCCAGTCTGTCCTGGAGGGAGAAGAAGGGGATTCATACCTATCCCAAGGGTATTAGCACGTTCACAGGGAACTTCATTTCGAATCCATGACAATCTGTCTGATATCTCTGTTGCAGACACCTGCTCAGTCACAATTTTGGTTCTTCAAACTAATCTACGAGTTACAGTACATGTATGATGAGCGGGCATTATTCACAGTTTCTTTCTAGATAGCGCATAATCTAGCCTGATCAGTAGTTGAACAAAATCAGTACCCTCAAACTCTCTGGTACGCTGACTTGAGCGTTCGTGCTGGTACAACCATTGGGCGACTTCAGAATATCTGTCTATATCTCTGAGATGACGCATTGTGATTACTTACATTATTTATATTATTCGGACTGTTATTCGCATCTTCATTTTCATATTCAAACTTTTCGGCCGTTGTACGTACTGGCCTTCTTCAGGTGATTGGAATTTCGAACCGAACCTTTTATTTCATCCAGCAGGGAGATTTGAGGTAAAAGGAAATAACTGAGACATGCGGAAGAGGAACAAGAACAATCTACCGTCGTGGACGAAATAAAGTGTTCAGTTCGAAATTCCAATCAGTTGTGAATATGGCAATGAAAATGAGGATAAAAGTTCTGTTAATGTAACTAATATCAGTGAATTCAGAATACTTTCGACTCTCTAATTTTGTTGACAAAGCTTGGGTTAATTTTTTTTCAGCAGTAACATTTTGTAGTTATTTTTTTATTTTTTTTTTGTTATTAATTGTTTCTTTTTTCCGGCTTATCAATCCTTTTCGGGTTATTTAAAGCCAGAAAATATTTTTATCTTGTAAGATTCCTTTTTTTTTCTTTTTTTTTTTAAATATTAATGATTTGCTGATACAAATCTTAGTAATTAACCCTTCGTTGGGTTAAAAAAGAAATGGATTCATACCGTTCCCAATGGTATTTTTATATAACGAACTCAACTGAAATTGGAACTCAGCCCTCCGATTAAAAATTCTGAGTTATTATCCATTACACTATTTGCACATCGAAGCTTACAGTACCTGGTATTCCCAAGCAGTCACTCCGCTAGGTACTGACCAAGCTCGACGTTGCTTAACTTCAGTGATCGTACGGGAACTCAGCTTTCCGATTAAAAATTCCAAGTCATTATCCATTACACTACTCACACATCAAATCTTTCAGTTCTAAGCGGTCACCCACTTAGGTATTGACCAGCGTTGATGTTGCTTAAATTCGGTGAACATGCGTGAGCCGGCCGTAAGCCCTCATTTCGTAATGTGAACCAAATAAGGTTTAAAAGTTTAAAAAACTGTTTTTTATTTGTCCATGGGGAATCAAATCCAGGGTTTTTCATCTTACGACTATTATTATTATTATTATTATTATTATTATTATTATTATTTGTGCATGTTACATTTCCTGCTTTGTATCCTGTAAGGGCCGATTCCAAAATATGCTCTTTTCTTAGTATATGGGATGTTACTAGTAGGGCGATCTTCTGGACAAATTTTATGTTGATGTTACCTGGGACGCTGTTATTGTCAATTACTTTTTCTCACGAGGCCCAGAGATCCGATTACTGTTGGTAAAGTCTCAGGTTTCATTTCACAGATTCTGTTAATCTCGATCTCCATGTCCTTGTATTTGGACAATTTCTTGATAATTTTTATGGACGTCTTTATCTCATATAGACCTGTTATGTCAATAAACATACACTTCCTGAATTTCTTGTCTTTTATGTTAATATCAGATTTGGTATTATTATTATTATTATTATTGTTCGCCTAATACAAGGGCCAAGAACTACTGTAGGGCAGGGGTTACTGAAATAATTTGTTATATGTTCATAAGAGGAAAAGGTAACAGTTATCAGTTATAAAGGCGTTGGTTAGATCTAGTGACAGGACCCAAAGAGTGTGAGTTCAATACCCGGTTAAGGCAGTGGAGAACTTGGAGAAGTGAATTAACGAGAGATAACTGATAACTGACATCCATTAAACATGGCACGTGGAACTAGAACAGTCTACCCCTATAAGCGAAATAAAGGGTTCAGTTCGACATTACAACCAACTGAAGAAGGCCGGAGCGTACAACGGCCGAAAACCTTGTAATAAATATGGCGACAAAGATGAGGACAACAGTCCGAATAATGTAAAAAATATATATAATACTTCATCTCAGAAATATAGACAGATACGTCTTTATGTTTAGAAATATTTATTTCAAAATATTTTTTATTTGAACTTTAACTTTATTTCTCATCTTTTTCATGATAGATGGACAGTTGGGTAGTGGGCGCTTGCGTCCCGGACAATCGCGTACTAGACGGTTGCATCCTTGGACTTTTGCGTCCCTAGACAAATGCGTCGCTGAATAATTGTGTACCTCTTATAATTTTTGAAGTCACCATACTCTCATTTTTTAAATCAACTTTTAATTATTCCAAACAAGCAAAAAGGTAGCATAAATTTGGAAAGACAAAAAAATTGTTTTTTACAGAGTTGTTTAATATAGAAATTTGCACACCAATATATATAATTCCTCTAAACAAACAGAAAAGTAGTTACCATAAATAAAAGAAAGAGAGAAAATTACTTTTTTAAAGCAAGGGTAAATTAAGCTAGCAGTTTCAGATCACCTCATCAGTGCGTACCTCAAACATCTAACAGGTTCTTGATTTTATAGAGTATGTCCATGGTTAAGTCCCGAAAATCAAACACTGGTGGAAAAATATTTTAGGGCGAGGAAAATTACAGCTACCACTATCATAAGAAAAACGCCGATTAAAAAAAAACATACTGGCGATGTGGAGAGCGATCTTGCAAAAGTGTTAATCTGTCATTGTATTTTAAACAAAAATGAACAATTATTTTTTATTTTATTACTTTTTAAAAAAAAATATGATTACTACCTATACTTTTATCAAAATTTACGGTAATTGCCTTTAAAAGATTCAAAAGATTATCAGAGGTACACAATTATCTTGACACGCATTTGTCTAGGGAGGCTAATATCCAGGAACGAAATTGTCTGGTACGCTATTGTCTGGGACGCAAATGTCCAGTATGCAAATGCCCTAGAACATTTTTTTTCAATTTAACAATTTTTGTTTAGTGTTCCCTTCATTTTTGCTTTCTTTTTTATTTATTTACTTTAATTCTTTCTTTTACCATTTGCTTTTTCTTTCTTTCTTTCTTTCTTTCTTTCTTTTTTCTTTCATTCATTGCAGTTTCGCTCTTTTTCAGTCATTGTTTTCCAAATTACCTTTCTTTTTTACTTTCTTTTTTTATTTATTTATTTTAATTCTTTCTTTTACCATTTGCTTTTTCTTTCTTTCTTTCTTTCTTTCTTTCATTGCAGTTTCGCTCTTTTTCATTCTTTTCTTCAAATTACCTTTCATTTTTTTCTTTCACTTCGTTTTTCATTTATTTATTTTTATCGTATTCTTTTACTTTCGCTCATTCTTTCAAATTTTCCACAGATCTTTCATTTAGATTACATTCTTTTTTTTCTCATTTTCTCTCTTTTTGTAATTTGATACTTCATGTTATATTTTTTCCTTCTAAAAATGATTATTGTAATTCTTGATTGTTATATACATTTTTGTTCTTTTCAGTATTTTCTTTCTCCTTTCTTTTGTCCGTCCTGGGTATTACCATAGACGATAAACTACATACTCGTCCTGGGTATGGCGATAAACAACATCCGCGTCCTGGGAAAGACGATAAACTACATCCAACAGCAAGGCCTCTGATCAAGAGGTTTTGAGGAGCGTGGAACCACGTCTTAATTGCTGATGTTCCCAGGCTCACCCTGACCCGGGGTGGTAGCACCTGTTAGGGCCCCAGCTATGGGCAAATAGTTAACACCCAAACTGGAGTAAAAACACTATGAAAGTGTAAAAATAGGTTTTAATACAATCAATACATTTTTTGAGGAAAAATTATTACCAGCCATACCATGTTACCAGCAATAATTTTATGTGGAAAAAATATTATGAGCAATACATTTTGAAAGAAAAATATTACTATTAATAAATTTTTAAATGAAAAATATTATCAGCAATAAAGATCTTGTCAGAATTAAATAATTTTTTTTCTTTCTTCCTGTTGTGGAGTTATTTCGCAGTGGAGGCTTGTATTTGTACTAAATCGGTCCTAAAATAGGTTCGACGTACAAAACGTTAGGAACTCGTTATAATAGGTATTACGCAGAGTAATCTTGTTGTGGTCGCTGACTACTTTCGCATTCGACTAACTGTCGACTACTGTCGTCCGACATCGACTAGTATTTAGTCACCCCAACCCCCGAGGGTATCATGTGGCACAAGGCCGGTTTAACTTGGGATCTCCAAGCCAAAAAATACCCTTTGAACCCGTAGAAACGGGTTCAGGGTCGGTTTACCTCTCCGAACGAGACTATGCCCTTCGGCATAGCCTCGTTAGGGTTCCTCCCCGCCCGAAGGAAGAGAGTTCAACCGTTAAGCCGGTCGTCCAACATCGACTAACTCTACTTATATTTGGTGGGAAAGTCTATTAACTATAGAATAGGTGTGTTTCACCATAACGCTTACTTTTTTCTTTTCTTCTTTTTCCCTGTTTTAATTTAATTGTTTTAGTTCTTCTTTTTCTCTTTCATTATCTTCTATTTTTTTCGTTTCTTTCTTTTCATTCCTCTTCTTTCTCTTGTTCATTATTTCATTATTGTCAGTTGGTTTTTTTTTATTCTTTAATTTTTCATTTGTTTTTCCTCCTTTCATTTCTTCTACTTCCTTTCAATTTTTCTTGCATTCCTTTTAGTTTTTATTCTTCTTTCTTGTTTTATATTCTTTCTCATTCATTTTTTTAATTTATTTATTTCATTCATTGTTCTGTCGTTCATATAGCCATTTTTCAATCCTTATTTTTCATAAAATGATTCATTTATTTGGTTTTCACTTCTTTTCGACATCTGTTTTTTTTTCTTTTTAATTCCTACTTTTTTTATGTTTATTACTGACGCTCTCACTGTTACTTTTTATCTATCTCATTCTTATACATTTTTTTTATTAGCTCTTCTTTGTTTACGCCGATGTGCGTTGTGGTGTAATGAATTCCGGCTCGGAGGGAGAACTCAGAGAGTCGTGTTCGAATTCCAGCCGATTTCGTTAGATTCACTTGCGCGTAAATACACTTAGGGAAGGATTGAATCTATCTCTTCTCCACCAGTTATGGAATAGCTTGGTTGGTGACCTATTGCAGGAGAAAATCTGCCTTGACAGTCATGTTATAGAAACATACACGATCTTCCAAGCATGTATCCCGGATGGCACTTAACTGACTGACTGTTTACGTCTCGTTCTTGCTGTGATTTATTCACGCCTTTTTGCAATTCACGAATTATTCATTCATTGTCGAGGCTCTTCTTCCTCTTGTTACTCAAAGTGAATGAAAATTGAAAAAGCCACTTTTTTTTGTCATTCGTCCTTTGTGCTTGATCAGATATTCCATCTGTTTGTCACGGTGTCTGGTGTTGGCAAGAAATGGTACTCCTATTCTCCAAAATAAATTCTTCTTTCTAACAAACTGACCATAACCACTCAAATTCTTCCTTAAAAATTGTTTCTTCCTCTTGTATGTTTGCAAATCTTTTTCTAGAAACTAAACCGTATTTTCAACACAGTATTTCGGATGCATATATAAATAGAGTCCTCCCCATAAAGAATACTGGAGTCCTATTGTCTTGTTACTCTTCTGTAATTTGCATATATATATATATATATATATATATATATATATATATATATATATATATATATATATATATATATATATCGTAATTGCCCATGTATAATATGCATTTTTTCATAAAATAATATGCAAAATTTGAGATGCGTATTATGCGCATCGACAAAACTAATCTTTTTTTAAAATTTCCGTTCCATAGGTCGATTTCAGTTGCGAAATGTTCACTCACCACAAACATACAATTTGACATTCAGCCATTGCGACTCCATGACGATGTCAAATACAATCATATGTATCTAACAATTCTTACGAATGTAAAATAAAATAAGAAGTATCATAAAACTAAATTAGAAAAGTATTATGCTATGTTTAAAACCATTTTTATACAAGGG